TCCGTTGTTTTCTTACAGACATTTCCTTACCATGCTATGTAACATTAGTGGTAACAATCAAGCTCACAGGCCACTATGAACCACACAGTATAGCCAGGTCTTTATGGAGAAACCAGCAAGGTTGGCTGTGTATTTCAGAGAGGAGGTTAATCCTACAAGATGGACACCATGATAGAAAAGGGACATTTCTGAGGAGCCACTAACCAATATAGCTTCACTGATGGAGCATATCATTTTTGTGTGGTCTTGTGTGATTGGCAGACATTATCTCATGATAATTGAAAACTTCTAAATAAGAGAAATTCAACACATCTGTAAATTTTGCCTTGTACAAACAAGGAATGATAATTGATATTCTGCAACAGCGCTAAATGCCACCTATTTCATTGCATTACATTCATTGCATGTCAGTTTAAAATTTTGCTGTTACTGTACATACATCTTGAAAAGATATAAATTATGAGCCTAATTAACATATTGTCAAGTGAGGCATTTATTTATTCAGAGTTTGTCAAATCTAAAATGAAATAGACTTCCTATATTAAGCTTTTATTATCACATTTTGACCAGCTGATTTTATTCTATAAATATGAATTTATATTATATAATACTAATTCTATAAATATGAATTAGAATGTCCTTATACTTGATTTTGATAGTAGTGTCTCTATCTTTAGACATATCTTCCATAAGCTGTGCATCGATCCCTGGTTGCTGGAACAGAGAACATGTCCAATGTGTAAATTAGATATAATGAAAGCGCTAGAATATTGGGTATGTTGCAAGCATATATAATAAAATTATTTATTTATGGTAATGCCTATGTTTTCTACAGCTGGATTATTACTCCATCAAAATCTGTAAGAGGTCTCAGATTTTCAAGTATGCCATCGAAATTTGGAAAGCAAATAGGTGGAGGTATAGAAAAACAATTTGGGAACTGCATATGAGCTAAAGTTCAAATGTTCTTCCCTGGTATATAATACTGTTTGTGTTTCTGTATTACTGTATGTGCTTCTCTGAACCATGCTTGTTGCTGAAATACTTTTCTTCAGAGATTATCTTAAGCAGTGGATAAGCTGTCTTTTTTTGTTATTACAAAGTCTGATTCCATCTAATTTAATAATTCTTGGAATTTATCAATTAAATTTCTTCTCTGGTTCCATCCGCAACATAGTAATTAATGAGTTTTTCTCTAACTTTAAAGGGAGGGTCTCAAAAAATTGCAGCGCCTGAATCAGTGAATAACATACCAACTGAAAACTGGAATATTTCTATGGAAGAAGATAGTAACGAAACAAGTGGCTTATCAGCATCCTGTACTAGCTCAATTGCATTAAATAATGTTTTAAAAGAAAATCTGTGTGAAACAACAGTTTTACTTGGTAAGTAATTTTGAAGATTTTTCTTTTTCTAGGAACGAAGTATTACTTCGTAAATCTAGACTTAGTGACGGATATGTTTTACCTTTACCTTTATATCATTCAAATATCTGGGTAATCCACATAAGCTCTTACATCATTCTTGTTTGCATAAAGCATTGATCTCAAAATTACGTAATTTGAGTCTTTTTTAGATTAGAAAATAATTTGTGACATACTTAGAATTCATTACAGTAGCATTTTTTTCTTTCATCAGAACAATAATTACAAATAGTTCCATTAGAAATAAATACACATGGAAGGTAAAATGACTCAGCTAAAAATTGGCTAGGGAAAGGAATGGAAAAAACTATGAATACAAATTATATTTTGTTCTAGAAAGCTCTATGTTTTGGAAATTCAAATTCAGTATATTTAGAGATTTATTTGTCTTTAAGACTGATTACAGGCCAAGTTGGGATGTTTTTATTGTTTGAAGTATGCTAAGCTTAATAATATGTTTGATTAAGTTCTGATGCAATTTATATTATAAACAAATATTACTTGTTATAATTCTTGACTTTATAGTGTAGTTAAACATGAATTTCATATTTTTTTTTATAGAACGGGAGAGTGGAGATGATCAACATGATCATTCGACTTCTGGATCACTACAAATTTAATGAGAGTTTGAGAAACTCCTGGTTAAAAAAAATGTGTTTTTCAAAAATGTTTATAGACTTGAATCTAGCTTAATAAATATATACTTCCTGTTAGTCTTGGTTACAAAGCTTTTCCCCATACGAGATAAAATACACTAATTCTGTTTTTGATCTTTGAGAAGCAGGAAGGAAGAGAAAAAAATGCTTTTTAAAAAGATTATCTGAAGGTGTCAGGTTGTTACTCTTATTCTCGGGAAAAAAATGTTTCCTTTGATAGAATGACATTCTTACCTCTTTCTTTCCCTTTGTCCTCTAGTTTGTAACAAAATAAAATCTTATCAGGAAAAAACAAGTTCTAACTACCGGTATTTCAAATATATATTTGGAAGATTAATACAAATATAAATAGCACAAATAAACTATATGGAATATATTACACTATATATGCATAATTATTTTGTTGTAAAATATGGCTTAACTTAAATATGCAAAATATAAGTGGTTCTAAAAGTCTTTTGATATAGATCTGAGAGAAAAATATGTAGTGCTATAATGTATGTAAATGTATGACAATTGTCTGCTATTTCAGATGTTTCTTGTTTTTCTTTGTCAGAATTCTACTCTGAGTACTTGTGGAGTTACATTTCTATTTCAATATTTGGAATATTGCTTTATTGGTCTAATGTGCTAGATAGCAGCAGGGTACCTTTATACAGAAACAGAGATATATGCCTTAGGCATATATCAACTAAATCATATATATCAAATTCAGACCGCTGCATTAGTTATTTATTAAATCACACAAAGGAGAAGTCTCTATTTATTACGTTTGTTATGTGTTCAAATTGAACTTTTTAGAATACCTGAAAAACATGTAATTTAAAATTAAACTTATTGTCTGAAGTTTGTTTGTTTGTTTCATAAAACCAGGGCTTCAAATAAGGAGAGAAAAATGTTTTATTTAATAAGGATTTCTGAAAAATATATGTTCTGAAGAGTTCACCCAGGGTAAAAACAAGCCAGATACATGCCATGTTATCAGTGTTAATATCTGTAAGCCTGCAGCTGTCCTCCAAGAAATATTGATGCCATGGTTAAAATTTCTCATATCTTCAGTGTGTAATGTGAGTTTGCCCTTTGAACAAAATGATATGTTACTTGTCGGTTCTTTAAGAATTTTGAAAGCAACGTGGTGAAATTGTGAGCTTTTCCCCCCAGGACTTACAAAAGGACTTACACGTTAAGTTGATTTTTAGTTGCTAAACTAAATGTATTTCAGCAATACAGATAAAGGCTGTGTTCTTGAGGATTTAGGCAGAATTTTAGAATTTTGATTTTACAATTTATTCAATTACAAGTTGGAACTAACTGAAATTTATTTTAGATAAACTGCAAATTGTATCTATAAAAAAATTATACCCTGTGTGCTGCTGAGGAGTGATGACAATGAAAGGCCGAATTGCAGTGCCTCTTAACAGTTTACTCTCTAGGCATGATGACAAAGTTCCCGAAGCGACCTTTTTATCTGACCTTAGCAGCACCATAAAAAGGACAAAACAGTCTATGTTCTCTGCAGCTAGTCTTTTTCTAAGTGATTACAAAGTAAACAGCTGTTGCATTTAGGTACAAGATAAACCATGCAGCCTTGTACTTGATGCTCCCCCTGCCCAGAATAGAGATATTTCAATAGCATCAATGTTAATAATTGGACCAATACTACAATTCAAATTAATCTTTTTATCTATATTGTTAAATGTTTTCATCAATCTACAATTTTAGAATAAACTCCCTAGGAGCAGATTCTGGTATTTGCAAATTCCTTGGGGATTTGCTGTATTTATCATTAGGCCATTTTAAAGATTCTGTTGACTCATAGGTTCTGTAAAGGATTAGAAATCAAGTGTTTAAGTTTTTTTGCAAGAAATTTATTTTTTTAACTACTTCATATTATGATTTTTCAGGGTATTAGCCATCCCTTGTTTTCCAGTCTTAGTTTTCCAGGGATCTAGAGAAAATATTGGTGGAAATAAGCCATTTCTGCCGTTCTATAAAAAATATCCTGACCTTTAAGCTATTGTTTGTGTAAGTATACCTGAGAATAAATATTTCTGCTACATTTTTATATCACATGAAGGGGATAGGATTCTCATTAAGATATTCATTAATCTGTTCTAAAACACTATATAGTAAGTATATCACTAATTTAGGCACTATCAATAAGACACAGTCCTCATGAACTAATTAAGCCAAAATTATTGCCATTGGATGACACCTTGAAAGTATCTTCTGGAAATAGAATTGAATGTGTTTTTGAACATCCATTTTTAGAAGACAATTGGCTACAAAAATACTTGGGAGATGAAACAAATATCCTAAATTACATTGTTTTTTTCTGACAGGATTTGAAGTGTCAAAATATTTTAAACTTAATGTTTATTAGATATCAAAACATCTATTTTTGTTGTACAAAACTGATTAAATCTTTATACCTATGTTCCCCTGAAAATAAGACTGGGTCTTATTTTCTTTTGGGCCCCAAAATAAGCACTAGGGCTTATTTTCAGAGTCTTATTTTCTCCCCTCCCCCTCCCCCCCCAAATGTACGGGAGACCCACTTCTGCTTGCTCACAGTGGGGCAGGAGGCCATGTGGGGTGCCAGTGCTGCCACCAAGAGGCAGGGCAGGTAGAGCTGCCCCAAATGGGCATACCTCAGGGCTCCCACAGCCAGGCCACCCATGTCCCAACACCTGTCTCACCTTGCAGCCATCGCATCAACATACTCCACCACCTCATGTTTCATTGCAGCCACAAGCTAGTAGAACTGGGCTGACAGGCATGTGGGCTCCTGCTGCACATGGCTGCTGGTGCTGTTGCCCTGGATGGCTTGGCTTTAGGGTCCCTGAGGTAAGCCAGCACATGGGACAGCTCCACCACCTTGCATTGTGGCAGGCTGTGCAGGCGCTTAAGGCTTGCTTTGGGGGAGTAAGGCTTATATTAGGCGCATGCGTAAAAACATGCTAGGTCTTAGTTTCAGGATAGATCTGATTTTCGGGAAAATGTAAGGCTTAGTTTGATGTTTATATCATTAGAATGTATTACTGCTTTTATATCTTTAAAAGAATCTTTTATTCTAAGTTATTGAAGAAGTGCCCCAAAATAGCATGAATAGCATGTTTTTGCCCCAAAATAGCATGGATTTCTCCAGTTACATTTACAGATATCCTTTCTTATTTTTGGTGAAGCTTTATTATGGACTATAGTAATCCAGGAGAAAACTATAAAAGGTTTAACTGTTTTGCACTGTAAAATGATAAGATTTAAGAAATCACTTTCAAAATGCCACTTCTCAATTATCAGAAGCAAATACAGTATTTCACATTAGCAAGATCATTGCCATGATCTTGCTAATGTGAAACTGACACCTATTTCATGTTGCATAAAGTTAAATTTCCAGCAATTTCCTATTGACTGGGAATTCCTGGGAGTTTAATGCCATTGATCTTAAACTTGCTTAAAACAATTCTAGATTAAGCACTTGATTAAATTAAACATATACCTCTACAAAACTTAGTTTAAAAATGGCCTACTCATAGTATTTAGTAGCATTTTGAAAAGTATGTTTTAAAGAGATATGTTGGCATGTTCTAAAGCTCAATAGCAGCCTGTTCCCTTTCCAAGAATGATTTTTGGGTCTTGTTTATCATTTTTAGTGGGTGATATGTAAGCTCCCAAGTTTTTCTGTTTTTGTTTAAACTTGATTAAAAATCATCTGGAACACAGATGAGCATGGAATACTTTGCTACGTAGGTTGGCACCCATTTAGAGTTTCGGGTTTAACATCAGGTTAATTTGCTTAAAGTTTAAATTAGTTCCAAGTCATCAACAAAAACTTCAATTTAATAAAGCACAAACATTTTAATTGCAAGCAACAAAAAACTATACAGAATTTTTTCCACACTAATCAAGTAAAAAAAAGTTCCAAATCAGTCTTATTTAGAAGTCTTTGTTTCTGAAGGATTTTCACCAGTGTCAAGTGTCTTCAGCAATCGAAAAAGTCCAGCTGCTTCTCTTATCCGGCTGAATTCAATACAAAAGGCTTGCACCTCTATAAATAAGTCCTGTACATTAATTATTTTGTTTCGAATCAAGGATTGTAGGAATACACAAACAAGACGTACCAGACGATTCTAAAGCAAAAAAATGTTTTTTTAAGAAACAAGCTTGAATAATCTTGATACTATGGCAAAACTTTAAAACAAAGTTATCTTGCAATTTATCCAAATTTGCAAGATTTTAAATTCTGCAATTAATTGATATTCCTAATAGCACAAGTATTTACTGAAATGTTGCCATTATTTCAAATTAACTCCCAATTACAAATAGTCTCAACTTACAACCCTTCGTTTAGTGACCTTCGAAGTTATGCCACTGAAATGTGATAGCCAGTCTTCATATTTACAACCATTGTTGCACTCCCACTGTCATGATTAAAATTTAGGCACTTGGTAAACAGCATATATTTTAGGGCAGCTGCATCTTGGGAGTCGTGTCACTATTTGCAACCTTCCCAGCTGGCTTCCAACAATCCACATCAACTGGGAGAACTAGATTTACTTAATGATACCATGATTCACTTAACAACCATGGCAAAAAAAAAATCAGGTGAGGCTCAATCATCTTGCTTAACATCAGAATTCTGGTCTCGGTTGTGATTGTAAATTGGAAACTACCTGTATCAAAGGAACTAAGATAAAGTAAAATAGAGTTCTTTTGTTCTACTGTTCTGACAATAAGCCTTTTTTATGTTTCCCTTTTTATGTTCACTACTTACAACCACAAAAGACTATAAATATATGCAAGTGCTACATTAGTAGGTTTCTCACAATTTAATGGTGGATTGTTCATTCTATTCAGTGTAATAATACAGGCTATGGTAAGCGGGCTTATAAATCTGTTTTTGTTTTTGTTTTTAAAGAAAAGTTGTGTTCCTGCCTAGATTCCAAGAACAAAGCTTTACATCTCCCACTTTGTTTCTTCTCTTCCCTCAAAAGTGACAAGAAGAAACTGATAAGATAACCATAGCATTTAAATACCACTTCAAAGTGCTTTACAGCCCTCTCTAAGTAGTTTACAGAGTCAGTAATTGCCCCCAATAACTTGGGTCATTTTACTGGCCTCAGAAGGATGGAATGCTGAGTCAACCTTGAGCCACTTGGGATCGAACTACTGGCAGCCAGCAGAAGTAGCCTACATTACTGCACCATCAGGGCTGCTCCTACAATAGGATCCAATGATCTCAAAATATGACTAAAGGCTGCTTCTAATGGCTTTTTCCCAAATTTGCCCTATTTTTTTTGTAAGAGTTTACCAATCAAAGAAGTTATTCTAGAGTACTTAGACCCATAATTGTATCCCAGTGAAGTCATTTAACAAAATAGATTTGTGCAAGAATACGTGCTGATTGGCTTATCTGGAGCAGGGAATTAGTATAAAACAGGAATTATCAAAAACGACTTTTTTCTATTTTTAAGCAGAGTAGCTAACAGTGAAGTCTCTTAATTGATTTAATTTCTTATGTGAAATTTCAAAAAGCTACTAATTATCTACATAGTGACTCTTATAAGGATGGTGAAAGCAGCAAATGACTCATTTATCATCACAATGATATGCACCATTATCTAACATTTTAAGATTGGGGAAAAAGCAGGAATAGATTAAGTTGTTTTTTCATCCAATTTCCAAAATAGGTTCACCTTGAGAGCACTGTCATTGTAATAGATACCAACTGGTTGGTCACCTGATGTCAGCCCACTAAGTAAAAATCAACTCCACAGTTGATTTATTGAGATATAGGTTATAATAAAATCTTGCAACAAATTCTGAATTAGGGAGGCATCTGCCTGAGCTGCTTCTGAATATTGTGGCTTTAAACCAATGCTTCACCCTGTTTTCTGTAGGCAGTGGATTTTGTATGTTTCCATCAAAGTCATTTTCCTTTTCCCCTACAGTTCTGTGTTCATTAAAGTCAGGAAAATGACATATTAATAAAATCCAACATATAAGTGGAACATAGGCTCAACATCTCACTCTTTAAAGGGGAAATAATCTGGAGAAATATATCTTCAAATTGGAAGACATAAATATCAATACAAATATAAATATTTCAAAAGATTAAAATACTTCAAATGTGGAACCAACAGTTATGGGCCCTTGTGTTGTTAAAAATATCCAGAAACTACAGGGCTATATTTATCCATCAAGGCAACATTCCCATCCAACCAAAAAGTTCTTTGCAGCAATGATTTTTTTGTATTTTATATATTCAATAAACATATTCAAGCATATGAATAAACAAATTTATACAGAAGTACTGAAATACTCCATTGTAAACAAATATTTAAAGTATAGTGATGAACAGAATTTTGCTATTTATATTGTGAAGAAGCTTTGATGACTATTTCTGTGATTTTTGTTTATGCCCTTGGTCTTCTGTGTATGCAACAATACATCATAATATGCTGTATGTGAAATATTATGCTGAAACATAAGGAACTAACTTTTTTTTTGTCAAAAGAGTTTTGCAGTTCTTAAATTCTGCAACCATAGTTTTTGCTTCCCCGAGTTTTTTTTACTGCATTTTCAATTATTTTATTCAAAAAGACTAGTTTCTTTTTGGACACTTACCTGCATATACTTATCCTTAATTTGTTCACAAGTAGAAATACAATTGGATATATAAAGATGAATAAATTCTGGAGGAAGATCAACTGCTGTAGTGAGCCTGTTGAATATTTAAAAGTTATTTTCAAATTGGCCATCTTTGCTGATAATCCATCTGTCACTTCAGTTTTACCATAACAGAGAGCCAGTTTGTCTAGTGGTTAAGGCTATGAATTCTAGTTCCTCACGAAAGCCAGCTGGGTGAGCTTGGGCCAATTAGTCTCTCTCAACCTAACACACCTCATAGGGTTGTTATGAGTAAAATAGGAGAAGGAAGGAATATTAGAAATGTTCATCATCTTAATTATTTATAAAAATAATAAAGGCATGATAGAAAAATATTTTCTAAAAATGTGTTTTTATTAATATATACATTGTATTCTTGTTCTATTATATTCCGTGTTTGAACATTCTGTTCCTTTAGGACTTTTTGGGCTGCTTATCTTTGTCCACTAATAAAGAATTCATCTATAATCAATTATCTTGCCCAATTTATATAAAATACATAAAAAGTGTATAGGCCCTAACAAGTGACGAGCTAATCATTCTTCATCATGCTTCATTCAGTTATAGCTAAATTATATTTTCCATCATATCTGCAATTGTATAGTGTAAGTTTACACTTCAGATAGAATACACTGCTAAGATATCCCGACAGAAGAAGCAACATTTGTCCTAATTTTAAAAAGATGATTGATTAGTATCTTATAGTCCACAAGCTGCTTTTACATTGTTTTTCAACTAGAACAGTAATTCTGAGTGATTGTATATGACTGTTGCCCTATTTCCTTCAAAATACTTGTTATATCTCTTGTATTAAAATAAAGCACCTAGCATGACTAGCAATACTATTATTAAATGTAGTAATACATAAAATATTAAAAAGCTAAATGTATTAAAATAACATACTCTGCTAAAGGACACGGAGTAAATGTAGTATCTATACATCCTCCTTCCTCAGAATACAACTAAATAATTGGTTAGATTATGGATATATGAATATAGTTCACATCAAAATATTCTATTCAGAATGTTATCTTTCCCTTCATCAAGGGAAAGGAAACTTTGCAGTCTTTAAAAGAATAAACAATTGTTTTCAGTCACACCATAATATGCCATTATGTACCACTACAGCATGTTTAGGTATTGGTTTTTTATAAACTGAATGTAGTCAAATATATATGAATAGCTACTGTGTTAAATCATGGTACCAAACAGTAAATATACCTGAAACGTATCTCAATATTTATCTCAAATTTATCACCAATACAAATTATCCTGACATTATAAATATTACACTGAGTTAACCATTTTTGAGTCCAATTAAATAACTGCAAGTGTCTCATTAGGACATCACTTCCAGGCAAGACTCTTATAATTCTCTTTCCCCCAATATTCTCCCTCCTATGCATATAGACAAGTTCTGCTCTATCCTAGTATAGTATCTGAAATTGCAATTAGAACACCAACATAAGCATAATTATAGAGTACCTCCCATAATCATAATTAGCCATTTATACAGGAACACAAGTGCTACTAGAGTGGGTAGTAAATTAACCTATAGTTGTCCTAATATCTCAAAAGGTCAAGGGCTTAGGACTTTATATTCCCAACTGCATCTTACTTTCTACACAACCTGTGAAAATCAAATTACAGGTAGTCCTCGACTTATAATCATTCACTTAGTGACCATTTGAAGTTACAATGGCATTAAAAAAATGGCTTATGACTGGTCCTCACACTTATGCAGCATCCCCATGGTCGTGTGATCAAAATTCAGATGCTTAGCAGCCAGCCTTTTTTAAATGATGGTTGCAGCATCTCAGGTCATACCACCATTTGCAACTTTCCCAGCAAGCTTCCAATAAGCAACAGTTTCACTTAACCATGTGATTCACTTAAAAAACTAGATTAAAAAAAAGTCATAAAATTGGGTGAAATTCACTTAACAGCCAACTTAGCAACTGAAATTCTGGTTCCAGTGGTAAGTTGAGGACTACTTGTACTCCACTAATACAATCATTCGAAGTATAATTAATGGGGGAAAAACTGTGATGCAATTTTGTAAATGTTCACAGAGACATTGAAAAACCAAGCTTGTTGAACTAAATATATACAATTAAAGCATTTTACTTACCGATTTACAACTTCCATTGAATGTAGAGACATGTCCATGTTGACTAGTACTGAAAAGTATTCAGTTATCTGACTTGATTGCATTAATTTAAGCAGCATTTCTATAGCTACTAAAGGATTGTTTTCCACCAGATCAGGCAATTTGGCAGGAGTGAGGCCAATATGGTAAACAAGCTTAGGATCTTTCTCCAATTCTCCAAGAAGCTGCATTTTAAAAATGTAAAACTATTAACAATTAAAACTTTACCTTTCAACTTATTTATTTAAATTTCTAGTTAAAATAAAATTATAGAAAAAATACAGTAATTATTGATGGCCAATATGGCATAATGTGCAAAAATGAGGGAGATTGCCAGTAAAGGTTTTAAATATTGCTAGTAAAAGTGATTTCTCTTGAGCTAATAGTTTAAGCATTCATGTTCTATTTAATACAATTAACACAAGGTCCAAACATTAAACAAGTACAAAAATCTACAAGCTAGCAATTTAAATAGAGTTCCTTAGGACTCTATTGTATCCCCCATCTGAAGCCAATAAAAATCATATGAAGCTTGAGAGACATGTGCCATACATACAATGAATTTAAACTCAGTCAATATAAAGTTAAATAAAAATACTATTTTAATTTCAATAAATAAAACATTTCAATTTATTAATTGGCTTTTAGTCTTATCTGGATGATTGTGTTCACCATAGCCTGGGTATTTAGTCTTATCCTAGATTTGCAGATTGTAGCTATGGCAAGAAGCACTCTGAAAAGTTTAGGAAATTGCAATCGCTTCACAAAGTGGCTGCTGGACTAGAAATTAGTTTAAGATAGTGCTGCTCTGGAATCATGATCTCAACTATTGATTTCTTTTTTTGGCAGATTTAATGTTGACATTAAGCCATAAAACAGTACAGCTTGGTAATCTGAGGTACAACCGCTCAATTATCTGGTTACCTGAGAAACAACCTCTCAATTATAACCTGTCTAGATATTGAGAACTGCAGAAGAAACTGTTCTTGAAGTTGCCCCTATGGTCAGAAACTGTTTACAGGATACGAAGAAAATGGCCTTTTCTGCTATTGTTTATTCATTAATTCATCAAATTTAGCTGCATGTAGATTGCATTACAGTAATCCAGCTAGATCAGGCCTGTCAAACTGGCAGGCGGCCCGGGCCGGATATGGCCCACATAGACCATACCCACCCCAGCTCCGCAAAGGCAAAAACTACCATAATACATCACGATACAGCCCACATGACAGCGGGTTTGACACCCCTGAACTAGATGGTGACTAGGTTGTCTACGTGATTGAGCAGAGCCTCTCAAGCTAGGAATGGGTGCAATGGTACCCAATACAAAGTTGGTCCTTCCTAGTCATGAGTACTACCTGGTCTTTGAGCAGAAGTCATGAATCTCTGTAATGAAATACATGAATGATCTTACAAAAAGAGAGGATCTGCCCAGGAAACAATAAGCATGATCCTACAGTTACTTAATAGTCAGAGAAAAAATTAAGACTGATCCTTATGGATCCAATACTTAAAACTGAAAGCAAGAATTTTATGCTTTCAGACTTGCAAGAGTCTGTTAATATAGTCTTACAACCAAGTAGAATTAGTTCATCTTGTCATATTTCCAGGTGGCTTTGCCTGGGAGGATGCACAGTGTTGTTTCCTCATATTATGCATGTGGTCTATCTGGGGAGTTCAGCCCATCCAGCAGCCCATCCAAAGATGGTATAGTCCTAGAACCAGCAAGGCTCAAAACCCAAAACAGGATAACAGGACAGCTATCTGCAGATGTAATAAGGGTAGAAAAGTACTGACACTTTACCACTCTAACCACTACAAGGTAGACCTTAACAGCAATTCTATCTCACGTCCAATCAAGTTCTCCCTCTATAAAGCGGTGGTGCTCTATTTGTCTCTTCTCTTGCTTCATTTGCCTTAATTCCTCTGTAAACTACAGCTGTTTTCTCATTAAAATTAGCAACCAAGGCGTTAAATGGGCCATGCAGTAGACTAGCAGGAATAGCCCCCAGCTTTCTCTGACAATCATCAGAGTCCATCAGTAGCCAGAGTGAACTCATCATATCGTTCCCAGATTACAGCACACAGCTGTTTTGTAACTGATTGGCTACTTCTTTCTTGTGTCTTTAGGAAGATTCTTTTTACCCCAATCTTTAAAACCAAATTTAATTATGTTTTAATGATTTAAAAATTAACAAAAATTAGTGAACACTGAAAAGTGCTTTGAGTTCTCAGTTTCAATGGCAAGGCAGTATATAAGTCAATACAATAATCTTAAAGCACCAACTCATGGAAAGGTTACAGGGGAATGTTTTTACTTTTTGATGTGGTTACTGAATTGCTAATCTTATATCACGATTTTGGGATTCTAGTAAACTTGAGCTAGCTTTAATTTAGTTAAAATTAAGGTATTATTTTAATAATAAAATTAAACAAGTCAGCAATTGATTTCATACCTGTGTTTGTTGCTGTGATGACAAAGGACTTTTGAATGCTTTGGCCATGATTCGTTTGATTTCCACTCCAGCACTATTTTTAATACACATTGACTTATCCCACTGAATTGTATGATCTGGCTCTATTGGATTTAACCAAGCTAACTCATCTTCACATATATGGAGTGGAGGTGGTGGGCGGATGAATTCTGGTCGAAAATGACCTGGAAAAATATATTACATTCTTTTTTAAAAAAATATCTTAAGTCAAAATATTTATCCAACACTCAAAATATTCCCAAGTATATTATCTGTTTTTATACATTATCTTATTCTTTGCAGGTTATTTCACAATATATAGTATAGTCTATTATCTTTTCTATAAACTGACAATCTCAAGCATCTTAGACCAGCATATTTCTATGTTCATCTTTCTTAGCATCTATTGACCCTAATTTTATGTAAAGCAGCATATTGTTTGCAGAGATATCCTTTACAGAACTCTCCAATGCCAATTGGGATAGTAATAAAATAGTAATATGTTACCATGCCATACTGTCCAACAAAACTATTCTCTGGAAAAGCAAAGCATAAGGAAGAGAATTTAAGGCCATTAAAAAAAAACCAACTGTACGATTCTAAACAAAACATAACACAATATAAAATATCAATCTGAATAGTAGAATATAGTGCATGTTCATGCAAAGTCAATGTAGTAGCTGAGACACTGTTCCATATTCAACCTGGAAAGCTATAATGGTAAACATGTAACCATCTTTTCCTTATACCCTGCTTTTCAAATTGAAGGACTACATTCATGTGAACAACACTAACTATAAACACCAATTTGAGATATAAACATGAACAGAAATAAGGAATGGGAAATAATATCACTATTTAATTCTTATATTGTAACATAAGAAAAGCTACCCCAAAATGATGCATACTTTCAATAGGTGGTTTTGGTCCACTCACTAAGGCTTCAGTAATCTGGGATGCAACAGAGCTGTCAAAACCAGAATTCGAAGAATCTGGATCAGGATCACTGAGAATGCTAGGAAAGCTAGCTTTACTTTGTGTTGGCAGCTCAGACTGACGTTCTGAAAGAAAAAATAGATTCAATTTTAGCATCCAAAATCCTGAATCACAAGAACAAAAATAAACTTGTTGACAAATCTACACTATTTCTGTTAATGAAAAATTGAGATTATCTGTAAATTTAGGCATCAGGATAGAAAGCAGGAGACCGTAAATTGTAGTCCCACCTTAGCTATGAAAGCCAGCTGGGGGACCTTGTGCCAGTTGCTGTCTCTCTCAGTCCACATCACCTCACAGGATTGTTGTTGTGGGGAGATGAGGAGGAGGCAGGTCTGTTCACCACCTTGAGATATTTATAAAATATAAATAAACAAATCACTCCTTCTTTTAAAATTAATATTGTGAGTTCCGTAACACCTTCATGTCTGCAAAATTCTATTGTTTTCTTGTTTACACCTCTTAAGACCTGAAAACCCTGTGGTTCCTATTAAGCAACAATGTTATTCTAAGCCTTCATATAGCATTCTTCATAGCTGAAAAGGAAACATTTAGTCTCCCATGTTACATTTATAAAACATCAAATCATTGCACTATACTTTTTAAACTGTAAACTTGGCACCTGAGAATCAGTCAGTCCCAGTTTCTGTATATAGCAGTAACTTGGTAACCAGCTGCTTTGAAACTCGTTATTTTGTTACTCAAGACATTTTGATGCAAAAAATTTTATCCCGGTACTCATTGTTTGTTTGGTACTCAATGAACAAGCTAGAACTTGTTAATGTAAGTTGTCTTGTGACTCACTACATTATTCCTTATAGGAAAAATTAGTTTGGTAGTTTTTAGTAGACATCCAGCCAGAACCAATTAATAATGAGTACTGAGGTACCATTGTAGCAGTTAAATGGTAAGCAACTTATTGACAGCTATAGAAAAAAATCTGAATTTTATTGTCTGGAGACAGACTTATATACCACTACTGTTTATAATATTTACTTTTAAAAGGACAGACTTAAATATAAAATAAAATGCAAGCATGTAATTTCTGTAGTGTCCATGTTCAGGATTAATTTTTAGGAAGGATTTTGATCATGTCAGTTTCATTTTAACATTCAATATATTATTTTGAAGTGTGTGGAATAATCCTAAGGAATTAACTTCTAAATATTAAGCTTGGATCACTCATCCCAAGATACAGTGACCATAGTTACTTTTTTAAACCTCAAAACAAAATGAATTTAGCCATCATCCTATAACATATATTGCAAATAATTGCTTATAAATGGTCCATCAAAACTAATTTACTATTATAATGTGTGAGCTATGCTTACTTATATAAATGGCATGAAGCTATCCATGCCTTTCTCACGCTTCTGATAAAGATTAGAAAAATAAGCCCACTCACACTATATTTTCTTTAGGTAAAAAACAAAGGTAGCAATGTTAGCCTTCAAAAAAAAAAACATCATCAGAGCAATTTCTTTATTAGGTCCTTAAGACCACAAAACAGAGTGCAAATTTTCAAGTTCTCTGGAGCTCTTCGAGAACAAATACAGGAGAAAGAGACTGATTTTCAAATGACCAGGTCCACTAAAATATATAATTAATAATCTAAGAATCAACTTAAAAATTAAAGCAATGTTTTGAATTACTATCACAGTTCTTATAGCACATTACTATAAGAACTGTGATAATATTTGTCACTTCAATAGGGGTCGAAGTGGCTCATGTGGTAAGAAGCTGGGTCTGCGCGCCACTGAAGTTGACAGCTCGGTGGCTTTCCATGAGTGAATAAACTGCGAAGGGACAAGAAAGGAGCCTCCACCAATTGCCTACCAGCATTCAGGCATCCCATGGGTAAAAAGAACACTGCTCGAAAAAATCCTTTTCACAGAGGCAGCCAGCACCTCAGTGATCTCTAGCTAATACGTGCCATATTATACTAAATAAATAAATGTCACTTCAATAATAGATATTAACATAGGAAAGTCTTCGAACTTTGCAATTCTCACTATGCACAAATGACACATAACATATAGATTCAGTATTTCTATAAAAGAATAGTTTTTTCATAGGATTTTTTTTAAGTATAGGGTGTTGATTTTCAAATAAGGACAAAACAATGAAGTATTGCTATGTGCTTTGTTGATCAATGAACAAAAACACACAGTGACACCATAGCAAATTGGAAACCATTGTTTTACCTTCTAATATGTCACAAGTTATTTCTCCAAAACTATACATAATTAACATTGCAGAAACCCATATGATTAACTGCAGGCAAAACTAAAAATGTGCTATGGAGTTATGAGGAAAAAGAAAAATATTCACATGCAAGTTTAAACACATTTTATATTTCATTAAAACAAAGATCTGCAGGAAATGATTTGTTTGTTACCTGCTAATGCTAACTGAAGACCGCTTATATCCACAGATTGGCCCATATTTCCTACATCCATCGATACAATCTGTCTTGGAGTCTTTTTGAAGAGTTCTCTAGGAGGGGCCAACATCAACTGGGAAAGAAAGAATCGTTCTGGTGGAGTAATTGCGGGCAAAAAGCCTTAAAAAAAGAAGAAGTTATTTTATAGTACCAGCAATTTTCAAAGAAGTTGTAGTATTTCTATTGTTATGAGCTCAATCCAGAAAGGTATGAATTCAGTAAATTTAGTATTCTTGCAGATAAAAGCAGGAGAAGGGGATTCTCACCATGCAACCACCCATCTGATAGTCCAGGCTTCCTAGGCTGTCCAAAATCCATTCAGGAAAATTTGGGAGAAGAGATTCTAGCAGTGCTAAAAGTGAGGTTCTGGACTGAGGGGATTGTGAAAATACATTTTTCCTTCTGTCTTCAAGACTACCAAGTAAGCAGAGTGGAAGTGCCCATTAAGAAAATACTAGGTTAGCTTTTCACAAGTGACATCTCCTTTTTCTGTATGCTAAATCATACAATAAAATGAAATACAAAGCTTCTGTTCAGCTAAGAGAACGAAAACCATAGAGAAGCAATAGAAATAATGGATGACAAAATGTAAATAAGGCAGGAAAAAGTCCACCACCATCTTTCCCAATGTGAAGGGAATGCTGCTCACATGACCATAATGTATATACCATTGGCTATTTTCATATGCTCCATGTATAAGGGTTCCATGATATCAACAAATACAAAACATATCTTCATGTATTGCCACAATTCATTGCCACAATTTATCCATAGATAAATCAAATACTGGCAGTTTGTTATTTATGTAAACAAATCATTAGCTGTTATTAATCATTTCTAGTTAACAAACAGAAAGGACAAAGGAAACATTACTTCCAGTATGAGACCTAGTTTCATACAAACATAGCTGAAAGTCATGTTTGATAAATATTTATGTACATTGAAGTTGCTGTACAAATACTTGCTAACAAAAAGCATGCTGATAAACACAGAATACATGCTGTCTACTTTCATTTCATGTGGACATTTTTATACCAAAACCTACAGGTCAATAAACTCTGTAATGCATAGATGGTTAAAGCAGAATAGAATAGGAATGTTTTCTAATCTTTTATCAGGTAACATTTAGCATTAAACTGGGGATCCCAGACTCAACAACAAGCAAAAGTAACTTGAGAGATCTGAAAAGAATTAATGGAGGATGGTAGGAGGAGCAGTTATTGCAATTAGATTTAAGATTATGTCACGCACCAAAAGGCAACATTGAACCCCTGATAACAAGAGAAATTATTCCTCCCAATCTGGTTGAAGCAACTGAGCTAGGGTTGCCCCCTCAGTTTAAAAGAGGGGAGGAAGAAACCCGAAGTTGCTCAGACATTACAACCCAGCCTTCCAAGTCGTTATAGAGATTCTCAATCATTCAGGTTATGGTTGTCCCAAAAGTGCTTTTTCAGGAGGCAACTGGACTTTTTTTTCTTTGAAGACGTTTCACTTCTCATCCAAGAAGCTTCTTCAGCTCAGAGCTTCTTCTTGGATGAGAAGCGAAACGTCTTCAAAGAAAAGAACAAGAAAGCCCAGCTGCCTCCTGAAAAAGCACCTTTGGGCCAGCCTTCGAAGAAGTCACGTTGCCTCCTCCCTCAATTTTCAAAACAAGTTTCATCTTTTTAAGTACTCTGGGAGATCCAGGCTTTTACCGAAATGAATGGCAAAAGGGCGCCGACCCCAATGGTTATTCGCCCAGGCCCAACCGGAGGCCACGCGAGGGAGCTACCTGAGAGCGGCGGCTTTTCGTTGTCGTCCCCGCCGCCGCTCCCTGCCGCTCCGGGCCCCGAGCCGGCGGGGGCGCGCTCGGGGGGCGCCGGATTCAAGAGGTGGGCGAAGATGGCGGCGAAGGGGTTGGCAGCGAGCGGCTCGGTACGGTACATCTCCCAGAGTAGGTAGAGGGCAGTCAGGCGCTGCGGCGGCGTGGGCAGCAGATCCGGCTGCTGCAGCAGCAACACCAGGACGGAGCCTACGCGGAAATGCTCGGCCTTTCCGAAGTAGTGGTGGAAGGCGGTGGAGAGGCCCTCGAAAGTGCTGCCCCCGGCCTCTTCAGATACGATGCTCAGCAAGCTCGTCAGCTCCTTCGGAGAAAGGCTCATCTTTCCCGGCAGCGACGCGACGGTCTCACTGTTGTTGCTGCTACTGCTGTTGCCGCTGCTACTATAACCGGCGACGGAAGCAGCGCCGGCCCCACCACCGGGAATCGAACCTGCCGCCACTTCCACAGCACGGCCAGGCCCGGGACTGAGGCGAACCCCACTCGCTAGCATTCAGCTCCACCCTTCCCGCTCTAGGCGGCCGTCTGCGCGCGCCCGTGCACTCGACCTACCTAGCGACTCCTCCCCTCATTATTTTGTTTTCCCTTCCCCGCGCGCGTGTCTCAACGAGCTGCTACTCTCCACGACCCCTCCGATTTTATTTTTTTTTCCCCACTCCCGCGTCCCCCGGGTTCTTTTTCCGCCGCTGCCGCCGTAAAGCGATTTGTAGCGCTTGAAATGATTACTCTTTTTCAGTACTGTCGTAAAGCCAGGAAAACAGGAGAAGGAGGAGGAGGATATCGATAGCGCAGTGTTTCTCCCCCTTGGCAAATTTAAGATGTATGGACTTCAACTCCCAGAAATCCCCAGCCAGCCATGTCCGGGATTTGAAATGCACACGTTAATATTTGCCAAGGTTGAGAAACATCGCCATATAAGAAAGAATGGAAACTGGGAGCTATTTCATTAGCCGTTTAAAGACGTCATCTCAGGAAAACAAAAGGAAGAAATTGTTTTCCTTGCGTGTTGATTTTTGAAATCTGGAACGAATATGTCGCTTTGTTAATAGATTGGTAGTTTAAGTTCCAAATAGAACTTTAAATAAAAAATAAAAGGTAAGAATGAAGAACTTTTTTATACCTTACAATGTAAAATTTTACATTGGGTTTAGGTACCTCCCCTATTTGACATATTTCTTGATCTTGAAAAGCTAAACTGGATCAGACCTGGTTAGTACTTTCTGGGATAGCTATCAAGAAATAGACCGTAAACTATATCAGAATATTGGGGGGGCGGGGGCGACGGGGGGCGACACCCTAAGAATACAATGGCAACACTACTTCAGAACTGTTACCAGGAAATCTACATAGATGTATCTATAAAGTCACCAGAAGTCAAACTCAGCTCAAGGAAACTTTTCCCTTTATGTTATCAGGTACATTCTGTGAGGTTTAACAGAGTTTATTTCTCGGATTTCATCCTGAATTTTTATCTTATTTTATCCATTTAATTTTAAGAAATTCTGATGTATAGTTAAGCTGAGACAATTATTTCCATGGCTATATCTGTTCTGAACATGTTATCTGCACCTTTGATTCTGCGGAAGATTTAAACTAGTTCTGTGCTCTTAGTGCAAAATTCATTCAAATCCCTTAAGCATGAAATCTGAAATTAAACAAAATTAATACTTTGAATGCTTTAATAATACACCATCTTTCTACTTTTGGGGTCTGGTGAAATATGTATCCCTTCATATCCTCAGGATTTTTTTTTGCATAATATTCAACTGAAATTATTAAAATACAAATCATTTGTCTGATTAGAATGAAATCATTACAATCTTACCTAATAATCATTGTCACTACTATGATACAGAAGTGTGGATCTGATGGTTTTATATTGGATCCACCTGACAACAATCAAAATGCAAATCACATCTGCCAAGTTTAATTCTTTTTTTAAAAAAAACAATTTTATTGGTTTTTTTAAAAACAAACAAAACGAACAAAACATCAGCTCTCTTCCGTACATATATACAAACAGTGTGTCGGTTGGTTCATCAGTTTTGTGCGTTCATTTCGTAGTCTCAATTACGGTTATGTTACATAATAACTCTTATTATCAATCCAAACTTATATGTCCTCATATCATTATTAAAAAATCATTTGACTATAATTTTATTCATTCATACTTTATGAGATAACTATAATTTAGGTAATTTATTCTATAACAAATCATATAGTCATACCAAATCTATCCTAAAAAACAGTTTATAGATATGATGTCAAATAACAAAAGAAAAAGAAAAAACAAAGATATTCCTTATTATCTAACATTCTAAATATTCTATTATTATATTTTATCATCCAACCATTGATAGAAAAGGTCCCAAATTTTATAAAATTGTTTATCCTCTTGCTCTCTAATTTCAAATGTCAATCTACTCATCTCAGCACATTCCAATATTTTCTTAATAATTTCTTCTTGCAATGGAATTTTCTCATTTTTTCAATTTTTAGCAAATACAATCCTAGCTTCAGTTAATACATTTACAATCAGATATTTCAAGTCTTTACTGTATGCATCTGGTAAGATTCCCAATAAAAAAAACTCCGGTTTCAAATCTATGTGTTTCTTTGTCATTTTTTCCAACCACATGCAGATTTTAGTCCAGTATTTTCTAGCATCCTCACAGGTCCACCACATATGGTAGTATGAGCCAGGTATCTGATGACATTTCCAGCATTTTTCAGATTTATTCTTGAACATTCTTGCTATCCTTGTCGGGGAAAATGCCACCTGTAAAACATCTTATACAGATTTTCTTTATAAGCTGTTGACGTTGTCATTTTATAATTTTGCGACCATAGTTTTTGCCATTTCTCTAAATCAATCCCATATCCAAAATTCCTCCCCCAAGCAATCATAGTTTCTTTAACTTGTTCTTCCTCTAGCTTAATTCCCAGTAAATAACCATATAGTTTTTTAATCACCTTTTCATCAGTACCTGTCAAAATCTTATCTAAATCAGTCTGTTTATCATAAAATCCCTCTGTTTTAGAATCTTCATCATACCTTGAGTGTATTTCCACATATGAAAACCAATTCATCTTTATACCTTGTTCCTCTAGATTTTGTATCGATTTAAGTTTAAATTCAAGTTTAATTCTTAATTCTTTTCAAAGACAATGTAACTTGTTTTACACTGTTAGGAAGAAATGAAGCAGAGAAAATCAAACTAGAAAATTGCTAATACGTGAAAGTGAACATGAAAATAAACAGGGAAAATCAAAGTAAGAAATTAAAAGACATTGTGAAACTAAATATAAAAATAAAGAGGGGAAATCAAAGTAGGGAAATTTTAAAAGACATTGTGAAACTGACTATAAATTCACTGGAATGGATTATCTGGTAAATTTACTAGGTATAGATGTTTGATAGGGAAATTAACAATAGTGTGCTGCCCAGTTGATTTAACTGCAATGCCTAGTGTAGTAACACTGTAAATTGGGAAGATTAAATAGTCTATAGCCTTTCTATTTTACTTTTTTTATTTACTACTGCTCACTATTTGCACTATACTGTTTAATCCCAAAGGGCATAGTATGATATGGATTCTTAAATTCTGGGAAATATAATAGTTATAATAAATAGTTATTAAGTACTATATCCATTTTAAATTATTTTTCAATATTTGTACTGGGACAAATCATAGCTGAAGAAATTAAAATTGTCTCACATGAGTTTGATCATGATGAAAGATTATAATCTCATCCAAGATCATTTTACTGATTACCAGGACCCTGAGCTATAAAACATCTATCTTATCTACATGAGATTTCAGTTCCTTTCTTAGTCTCACCAGAATTGTCACCAGAAAATCTCCAGTATATTTCCTGAAACTCATTTTATGACTGAAGCATGGCAGTGACAGAATTGATTTCAAACAGAATGGCTGTCCAAAAAAATAGTGCAATATCTACTACCGTGTTTAAAATGTGAATAAAAACCAATTCATAGTGTTGTAATAAAGAAGTAGATTGGTATAAACCTTAATTTTTGTTTCTAAAATAACTGATACCATAATACCACAAGGGAGGTCTCTGTTTTTAAGTCCCTTCATTTTATGCAATTATGCAAATATACATAGTCAAATTTAAAAATTAACCATAGTTTATACCTATGTATATTTCTCTGTCCTAATCCCATATGGAGACTATGCCTTCTTCCTTTATCAGCATCTAGATGTAAATATTGTATAAATACTGTACATTACCATTTGCTAATTGATCTCAGGTTTAGATCTTACCAACCAGCTAGAGCTTCATCATTTTCATCAACTTTACAAACAGGATAAAAATGTTATTTCTTTTTATTTATTTCCCTTTATTTATTTATTTCTCTTTATAGATTAAATTTATATGCCATCTTGCCAAGAAACAGCTTTATGGAGAAAGTTTTATGAATGGTATCAAAACAATGGATAAGAGGATTATGTTTAATGTATTTGACCGTAACATGATAGAGCAAAATCCCTATGTAATCAGTTATTGGGGGGAAACAAAATGTTGGACCTACATAAGCAGAAGGAGAGCTGGGTATCTTCTATAAACACACTGAAAATGTATTTTATATTGCAAGGAAGAAAAAACATGAAAAGCCAAAGATGAGCATTAGTGTGAGAGGAGGAGCCGCGAACATAAGTGAGAGAAGAAGAAAAAGGAACACACTGATAAGATGGGGAAATCAGTGGACAGATCAGTGGGGGTATTCAGCTGATACCACTGCAGTAAGGAACAAGTACATATGCCAACGGATACATCCCTCAAAATCATTCTGGGATCTCCCCAGATTTTGTTTCATTTGAATCCCAGAACCAAGCTCTTCTAGGTTTTATTTTTTGTCAAACTGCAATCCAAAACACTTTAGAAGAACTTTCCAGGATGCAATACTTTGTTCCTGGTTCAAAAAGTCTTTGCATTCAAACACTCCAAAGACATCATTTGATTCGGGCATAAGGTATCAGATAATAGCTGTTCGGTGCACAAAATGGTTCACACAGAAAAATCTTTTTGTATATGCCTAATATTGTACATGAATTGGTAATTCAATTTTACATACAGTGTAAAATTGCCCTGCAGAGTTTCTCTCCCTCCCTCCCTTCATTTCCCTCCTCACTCTCCCCTCCCTCCTTCTTTCTCAGTTCAGAGGACGGATAAAGCATTAATTATTAGCAATACTTCCTTCCAGATTCAAGTGTCCAAAGTAACACTCTGTCCCATGTTCCAAGGTAGAGAAATGGTATAGAAGAATATGATGGTTGAAGATGCAGCCTGCACTTAAAATATATTTAAGAAACCAGAAGATCACATTCTTCTTATCCATTACGCAGCCTTGTGCTAATGGTAAAGCCAATTGTGTATATGATTTTGGGATTCAGGTGGATTTGACATAAATATGAAGATACAAGGCTCAGATCCAAATTTTTGCAACTTAGCAATACACAAATCAGT